AGTAAACCCATGTTTACAACTAAAGGTGGGCCCTGGCTAATATTCGGGTTACAAGTCTGACTCTAACCATTAGGCCACACTGAAAAAAACCCACACATTTGTCCTTAAGAGAAATGGCAGCATTGTTATTTCTTACACAGAGATTTGTAGATCTATTAGTTAAATCTGTTGACTTTGGCAATTTTTGTTGCATTGTATGCCAATGGTGACAGGTCAAACATGAGAAAATGACTTGTCTTCCCCCAAATTTTAAAGACCTGTAATTCAAGAAATATGAAAGATATCTTAAAATCCTTTGTAAATTGTTTCTTAACAAAATATTATTTTGATATCATCATTTTGAAGGCTCTATACTGTTTAATTAGGAGAATGATTTTTTAAATTTGAATTAATGGTTTGAAGAATACATATCATGTGCTAATTTTTGAGTTTTTCCATTACACCCAGGCACGCTTGGTGCATGTAGTCAATTGGAAACTGCTCTACCATGTCCAATGAGAGGCTTAAAAAAGGGAGACATTGGAATGTCCTCATTCTCCTGACGTCTTGTCATTTCAGCATGGTGTGTGTCATTGGTGCGTAGAGGGAGGTTGTCCACCTCTGGGTAAGTCACTCGCCCAGAAACCCATGTGCCCTTCTGTGTACATTTGTATTGAGGTATCAATACTCTAAAGTTTAAACCATGATCAGCAAAGCAACGATTGGCATCAAAACAGCAACATAACAACATAATATAATTTAAAAATGAAACAGGCAAAATTAAAATATCTAACAAATAAATAAAATGTAAAAACGATTGTTACACAATTCATATTTGTTTAAATTTTTCACAAATTTGTGTATTTTGAACAGGCTTTACACTTTTTTTTGTTTTTCGGTGCCAAGGGTATGGCCTATTGTAATTAGCAATTCACATTTCTTAAGGGCCAGGAACAAATGAATAAAATAGTTTTTACAGTATTTGATGTTTAAGGATTCAATAAAATTAAAGAGTACCTATTATGCCCCTTTTCACAAGATGTAAAATAAGTCTCAGATGCCCCCGAGTGTGTATGTGAAGTGTTAGCTCAAAATACCCCACAGATATTTTTTTACAGCATGTTTAAATTGTCGTTTTTGGGAATTGAGAAAAATGACGCATTCTAATTTTGTTTCTGTCAAATAAGCTCCTGAGCAAGTTTGACATTGCTGATTGCTGACTGAATAACCTGGATCATCTCAAATGGTCACCTGTAAAATCCTGATAACTAATCCTAATTTAATACACAACAATTTAATTTTTGTTGATTTTAGGGATGGGAAGTTCGAATCATTTTACTGACTCTCTTGTACGATCTCATTCATCAAAATGAACGAATCTTTTTGAGTCATTTCCTTCATTTAAGTGGCTTTATAAAACGGTTTGTTCCAATTCTTGATTCTGATTGGTCAATAGCTGTGCTTTATTCACGATAAAACACGGCTATGACCGCTTTACCCAATGGTTCTATGTATCACTACAACACCCCTAGCAACCGATCTTAGCAACTTAAACACGTTTCATCTCATTGATCTTGTTCATTGAAGCTATAGTAGAGTATTGTGAGAGATTGAAAAAGCGAGTGTGCCTGCATTTACAGTAGATATAGCATTTTCCTTCAGGTCAGTTATTTTTACATTTGGTCACTCAGTTTCTGTTGTTAAATAACCCTAATATAGGATAACCTGAACCCCTAAACCCTGTGCTTTACACTGATGTTAAAATAAAATTTCTAATGCTACAGTAAAACACTGCTGTGTACTTTCAGAAGCTGTAGGGAATGTTTTCTCGTCACAAAAAGAAACGTGAAACATGTATGTAGGTTATTTCATTTTAAATATATTTTAAATGAAGTTAATTTTACACACTTTAAGCATTCTCATATATATCTTAAGTTATCGCATATCACATTTTTTCTTCAATGTTGTGCAGCCCTAATAAAAAGTATTGTTCATCTGAGGTTGTATTTTCTTTAGACCTTTTAAAAACTAATTAAAGATGTTCCCCCTTATACATAAAACTAGTTTTAGAGTTATAGATTGTGCCTCTTTTAAAATTTGGGCTAGCGTATTATTCTAAAAATATATTTATTGGAATATTATTATATTTCCTACCAGTATTATGCATGGAACTGTTATTCTTTATCATTGATATATATATATATATATATATATATATATATATATATGTTTATTTTTTTGGGGTCACATTTTGCAGCCTGACAAACGGTTTAAATTATGGGTGTAGAATGTGATATTGCCCAAGATTACATGAGAATGTATGTCTTACCTGTATCTTTTTTGTTTTCCAGTAATTTCAGCAATTGAACTCATTTCCATCCTTTTTGGCCTCTCCTGGAATTGAAGACGTTGCTTACATCTGATTGAGCGACCGTCGATCTGATTTTATAATTACATTACTCTGCAAAAATTTTTAACCCTTAGCAATAATAAAATGATTTTCCATTTGGGCTGTAGTTGTACAGTCAAGTTTGTTTTTCCTTCATTTAATTTCCTTTTTGACATTAATTTAGCATATATGGGTGGATGCAAACAAAGATATGTTAATATATACAATTTCATGTAGAGGCATGATATAGAGCCAATAATAAGCAATTTCATACATTAATTCAAATTTTTAATTGGTTATAGAAATACCTGCACAATGGTGGATTCTTTCACTTTTGCATGAATATGAGCACTGTGATGTATTATGAAGCACACATTAAATTGACTATTTTAAAGTCATAGATGGTAATGGTGTAGAAAATATTTTATTGTAAACAATTATGGTTTTAGAGATTTTTATTCATTTTAAAAACAATACAATTATTATTAAGGCATTTAACAGAATAATTGAGTATTAACCTAGTCATCATGTCTGTCAGTGAACGTTACAAAGGGGACCAAATGCTAACGTCGCTGGAATGTCCGACAGCAAACGTTACAAAGCGGACCTAATGCGGACGTCGTTGGAATGTCCGACAGCAAACGTTACAAAGCGGACCTAATGCGGACGTCGTTGGAATGTCCGACAGCAAACGTTACAAAGCGGACCTAATGCGGACGTCCTCCGAACGTCCGTTTGGGAACGTTGCTAAGAGGACCTAATTCGGACCTGAGGGGACGTTCGAAACGTCCGGGGGACGTCCCTTGTTTGCTGGGTTCATTCACCACGTCTAAAAGTAGGCTATAAGCTATGGCTTGTTTAACCTGTTCGTTATAGTTAATTTGACTATCTTTAAATCTAGAGAGAATAATATTGGTCAAAACAGCATGCCTCTTTATACACAATTATGTTTTCAAATGTAGCTTAATGTTGTCAATATTCAAATGATAATTAATGTCGGTATATGTTTTGTATAACATTTGCCACATTTCTTTTTAAATCATGCTTTAAAGCCAAAAATGTTGTTCTTTCCAATGACGAAAAACAATATAGAAAACTGTTAGTTTTGTCGTTTATGTTTCTCTTAATGTTATCAGGGGGTTGGTGGCAAAAAATGCCAGCAGAATTAATATGCACCCAAAATTCAAAATGTGGCGGAAAAATGGCCCTAGTATGAGTTATTTTCATAATTATAACATATATAAAAAAATATTTCCAGATTATTGGCGCGATTGCAAATGTGATGATTTTATAAAACAGTTCAGTAAACAAAGAGTGAATATTGTGATGTGACATTTTAGACATAATATTCCAAATATTTTCTGTTTTTGCTCTATTTCTCCAATGACAATAGTTCCAAACAAGCCACAGAAAGAGTTATGCGTATTTGTGATTCAGTGACCTAGTTGCTTAGTTCCAGAACGAATCTGTCATTTTGAACAAATCAGTTGACTGCTTCTATGACTCGTACATTAAGACGGTGATTTGGCGCCACCCATTGGCGGTTTTAGCTTCATAATAGGCTAAATGCCAACGGCTGTTATATAACTTATATAAAGGGGATGCCAGTTTGAAGAATGCCATTTGGTGGCATAGGAACCATTATACTTGAATTGTGAATTGTTTAATAGCTTTTAATGGTCTTCTGCAATGTTTGAGGCATATTTATTTTTTCATGCTTTAATGTTGGCCTAATTTCAGTTACATTTACATTTTAGGCTATGTAGTTTGAAATTGTATTTATTTTTTATTTTTTTAGATTTTTATTGTAGTAACCACTCAGCTGTATGTGGAAATGCATATTTAAAAAAAATGTTGCAAATAAAACCATAGTCCACAACTTATGTAGTTTTAACTTATTTTAATATATAAATTCAGTGAAATCATCAAACGTTTGTATGACTTGCCAGTGACTTGTGACCCAAGCTACGACTTGACTTGACTTGCTTGACATAAGGCAGTGACTTGACTTGACTTGCTTGCTTTTATAAAAAATTGACTTGGACTTGCTTGAGACTCGAAGGTTAAGACTTGAGACTTGCTTGTGACTTGCACATGTGTGACTTACTCCCACCTAATAGCAGACGGGCTCTGGTAATAATCTGCGTTCTTCTGATGAGTAACTCTGCGTGTAGAGGTCATAGACTAAAAAAAAGGTAGAGGTGCGCTGATGAACGCTGTTACCGGAAATTACAGTGTAGTAACCATAGTAACAAGTATAACGCGGAAGTAGTTGTGCAAGTTTCTCGCTTTGGAAAAAAGCGTCCGCTAAAATAAATGATTCAATGTAAAAATGTAAATGTAATTTTATGAAAATAAAATATTAACATTGCAAGAGAAATTACAATAGTGAAAACAGTACATCTTTTAGAGGATTTTGAACATTTTCAAGCATATACATTCAAACATATTGCACAATGTAATACCCCAATGTAGGAAAAACAAGTATTTACGGTACATGAAAGATCTCGTCATATCTCTTCAAAAAATAAGGTCACATTTTTTATTAATAATTATGGGTTTAATGTTTTTTTTTGGTCGTGAGTGAGGTAGTAACATGACGTTTCATTGTGACGTCAGAAGCACATGTGCATCAATGGAAAGCAACCTTTGCGTGATGTCAAGGAGAGTAGGGGTGGTCTGAACCGAGACTGGTTTTAAACCTTTCTCCATTCATCACTCATTATTCATCGCATGAACTCTGACCAAGGTAAGATAATACATGATAGCTGATCAGAATGAATAACAAGGTCGCTAAAAACACTCTAAAAACTCCAAGCGGACATTGCGCACTGCAGCGTAGGCAGCTTCGTTTACTATAATTGGATATTTCTATTTATATACGTTGCAGTGTACATGTATTATCACTGTATATATGTTTTACTTGGCTGCGCTGCGCACATTGCGTTTTTCTCGTGACGAAATGGTGTCACCCTTTACATCAGCATGTCATTTCCTTTAGTCAGAGTGGTATTTTCCGATTGCATACAGGACTGTCATTCACAGCATGTTGTGGCAACCAGCAACACAGCTTTTCTTAGCTTTACGCAACATCGGGTTAAACCTTTAACTTATGAAATCAAATATCCTTACCCGTTCTTTCTTAACAGTTCACGCGCGCAATCTATTCCTTCTCGAGCTCGTGGCTCTGTTGCTCGCGTTGGTTGAGAGAGACCATGGTTGAGATATTGACCGCCCGGTAACAGTGAACGATTTTCTTTTTAAACGCCATTTTCTTTGATGATACATCAAATGTCGTTTTTGATTAGATTATAATTTGAAAAAAGTGTCGTATCCCGCCATTAAAACGCATATGAAAAATGTCATGGTCTCACTGACTGATAACACGCGCGACATGTCAGTTTGCAGAACTGTTTTCATGAAATATTTATAATAGGCTACTTTATTTGTAAAGATGATTCATTTTAAATAACTTATCAAGGTTGTATTTTATTTTTCAATAAAATGAGAAAACTATTAAATGCTTTTTAATCTAATTTTAAAACATTTCCAGGACATTATTTTGTCATTATGAATCAATGTGCTAGTAAATGGCTGTCATTATGGCGAAGTGCTTGGATTTATCAGATGTCATTTGGTCTTTAAATCTTGATCTTTAAACAGATAACGTTTGCATAGTATTGCAACCAAATCAGTCACATTGCTTTGGAACGTCGGGTAGCTGTTGTAAAAAGATGCACAGCCCCAATAAATATTTTGTTGGCTGGAGAAGTTTAAAGGTATAGTTCACCCAAAAATGAAAATCCAGTCATTAGAGTGATTTCAGCTCAATACAGCATGTTCACAGCAAAACATAACAGTGTTGGTGCTACACAAGACAAACACAGAATGCAGGACCACAAAAACTAAACTGTACATACATAAATTATGTTAGATGGGCTAAACATAGCAGTTAAATAAGAACTAAAAAAGAGCTGAAATAAGAGTTGAACATTATACGCAGACTACGCATGACTATAAAGTGCACATGTGCATACCTGAGCAAACTGCAATATTTACTCACCCTGGTGTTGTTCTAATACCACATGACCTTGTTTCTTTTTCAGACCTTATAATGAGAAACTGGAAAAAAATGTTTGCAATTTCTTTTAACCAGCTGGCCATTTTAGTGGACATAGTCAGTTCCCCTTAAGTTCACACAGCTGTCCAGAAAATGTAGATCCCAGAAAATATAGTTTATTACATTAACTCTGGATATATTCCACTAATGTTTGGCGATCAGAAACCAATACTCTTTGTCTGAACACTATGTCAAGACTTGGAAGAGTTTTTGTTCTATCAATAAAAACAAAAAAGCAGACATGCACTACAGGCACAGCATTGGGTTTCAAGGTTTAAGTCTTTGGGTTTTGATCAACACAAGGATGAGAAAATGATGACAGAATGTTCCCTTTCATTGCTTTGGCAGTTTACACAGCCCATTTCTCTCAAGTTGCTAATCCTGATGGTGGCGAAACAATGACTTTTCAGGCATTGTTAATCATGTTGGTTGGCCCTCTAGCATGCTGTGAGCTTGGCATTTTAAATAGCGTGACAGCTTTTCACTTACTTCATTTCACCAGTGCTATAATTCATGTCAGAACTTGTTCTATTAAAATCACTGTCCTGTTTTATTTTCAGATTTTTTTTTAAATGTAGTTTTTCTTAATTGTAAAGCTGTGTCTATCAGTGATACGTCTGATTAGCTGATCCTTATTATTCGTTTTTCAATTTGAATTGGTTTAATTAGGTCCTTATTGATGTCCTTTTGATGTCTTTTTATGAGAATTAATTTCTGAGATATGTAATATTAGAACATCAGAAATTAGAACCTGTTATGAAAATCAAAATAAAGATTAAAAAAATTATATAAAATATTTAAAAAAATTATATTGTTATTATAATATATAAAAGGTTCCTGAATGACAACTAGAGCTACAAATTGAAAGTTGTACTTCAAGCCTGATTTACTCTTTAGATACTAGAACTTTTTTTTATTTTGGGAGTTAATCCCACTCAATAAAACTGCTTTTTTTTAAAGTTAAGCCTAAATTTTTGAGGGACACATGCTGAACTAGCACAAATAATGGGACAGTTGGATTGTTAGTTGATTGGATGGTTAGAACAGCTGATGTTTACTATTGATCATCTTAATCAGGGCATGCTGTGTTGCACAGTGAGTTCTGATGCTGTTCATGAGTCATAAACTGTGTTTAATAAGCAGGAGCAGAGCTTGATCATAGAGGCTAAAGAAAATCAGACAGACACTTTGCTGCGCATTTATCCCACTGTTTGATCATCAAAAGCCTTGTGACCATAGAATGGATTCAGGCTTGTCTCTTTTTTGCCCTGGATACATATCCATAATAGATTTAGGTTTTTTTTAAACTAAAAAACAATGGTTTTCCACCATGACAAGAAAGAAAGGTCGACAAATCTTGGCCTGTGTGTCCTTGCATTTTCTTCACTGTTCTGCAGATAAGAACAGGTTTGTCCTTTCTTTTCTTTCAAATAAGAAATTAGAAAGATTAAATTGGTGTGAAAGCCTCCATCCCAGCCCAAACATCTCTTGTGTGGTGTTGTTATCGGAGTTGCCACAGAGCTTCTAGGTCAGAGTCTTATCATGTCGTATGTGAGACTTATCTTTTAGCAAACTAGCCAACACAACAGCTTTGATCACACAAAATTAATCTTGAATTGAGCTTTTGCTTGAGTTTTATGCTTGATATACTGTAAACGACTGACTATCAAATCCAATAAAGTGATAAAATAATGCTGTTATCTTTTTTATTATTGTTATTTGCTCAGATGCCAGAGAATTGGTTGTTCAAAGTACTCACCTGATGGCTGCTGTAAGAGAACCAATTCATTCACTTTGTGTGTGTGTGAGATTCATTCAAAAATGCTGAGTCATTGAATCATTCATTCAAATAGATTTGTTTTGTATTCAAACCTAAATAAATTAAACATTTTTAAATAGACTGCAGCAATTCATATTTTGTCAGAACCTTTAGTAAAGTACGTTATTTTGTTTAGTTTGTCTGTTCAGAATCGTGATCTCTATTTGAAACAAGAAATCGTGATTCTCGATTTATCCAGAATCGTGCAGCTCTACCTAAAAATGAAAAATGCCATATTTGCTGTGGCTCCCTGCCTGCAGCTTACTAGAATCACATGGTTTCTCATTGTAGGACATATTGTTCCACTGGAAATGACAGGATTGCGGCTCTATTGTATGCAACTAATTTACAGATTTTTGCACTTGTAATCAGTAAATGAGTTAGCAAACTTACACAGTCGCAAGAAAGTTTAGTATCATGTTTGACCTTTAACCATTTTACGGGATCGTATGTAACTTGCCTGCTACTAAATGTGTGCTGATGAATTTAAACAGTGGAAACGTTCAATAAAATGAAATATTTCTCCCTTCTGATCATTATTGAGGTTTACTCTGCTGTTAGGTGTTGATAAGATTTTTTAATGTTTTTGAAAGAAGTCTCTTAATCTCATATGTCATCCGCATCATCCTCTCAGCATCACCTATTACAAATTTTTTTTTTCATTCCTCATGATTCATTTCTGACTTCTCTGGACTGAATACACTAAACCACAGTGCTTTTTGCATTCAGCACATGTTTGTGTGAATAAGCTTTAACCTTACAGAATGTCAGAATCTGTTAGACTAGTTGTTGTAAGCTGGTTTGAACAGACAGGAAGCCGTAGAGGCACGAGAGCCTATTCAATTAAAAAGAAAAAACCTCTAAGTCACATGATGACTCATAATGTGCCTCACAAGACCAGTAGGTTATGTGATTGACAAACTGGTGTTTTTTTTTGTTGTTGTTTTTTTTCTCATTTTATTTTAAAAATGTTTTAATAAGACAATGAGTCTGGAACTTCATAGAATAGTGATAACGAGATTGCATAGCAAATGATTTTATGCACTTGCATAAGTTTTGAGTGGATCAGATTCAATCAGAATCAGATTAATCTTTAGCATAGATGAGGTGTCTTCTGTTTTTTTATTTTTATTAAACCTTTGATGTTTTTCATGTCAAATACTATAGGACTGCTAAAATCATGCTGCGTCCTAAGGCCACGTACCAGCAGCTCAGAAAACATAATGTAGAGCTTTTATCAAATGGAGGCAAGCCAACGGTGCTTCAGCTTTAACTCTAGTGATATTTCTGTCTTTGCAGCAGCAGTTCTATTAATTCTACTGATACTATCAAATAAATTGGCAGCTGTAGCAACAGTGTATTTCACATACTTCTCCAATCATTTAGTCCGCTTAAATCCCACCCCTCCACAAACGACTGCAAGCTTGCATTGATTTTTGAGAGCAAGAAAATAGTGATTTAAAATATATTGTGTGTTTTGAGCCATTTTGCACATGTTGTGTAATGCATTAGTGTAAATGTTTTTTTTTGCCTGCAAAGTATAACTTGGATATTCTGTTTCCATTTTGGCCTAAACAGTCTTTTAATTTTTTACAGCACGTCACCTGCAATCCTTCACGATGACCCAATGTGTAACTATCCACTGACCCTTCACTGATCATCCAGGGGCCACATCACTCTGTGCGCTCCACCTCACGGCATCATGGGGGACGTAGTTCAAATGCACTTCAGCACGGTGGATTACGTGATTTTCGTCTTGCTGCTAGTGGCCTCCGCTGGAATCGGCCTTTACTACGCTTTCTCAGGGGGTCGCCAGAGTACCACGCAGGAGTTCCTGCTGGCCGACCGCAGCATGCGCTGCCTTCCGGTGTCTCTTTCACTACTGGCCACTTTTCAATCAGCGGTGGCCATCCTGGGCGCCCCATCGGAGATTTACACCTATGGGACGCAGTACTGGTTCCTGGGCTGCTCCTACTTCCTGGGCCTGCTCATCCCTGCACACATTTTCATTCCGGTTTTCTATCGGCTCCGCCTCAGCAGCGCCTATGAGGTAACACTATAGAAATTCACTTTGTTAGATTGTTTGAAAGACTGGAGTCAGTCACAGTTTGGGAATCGAAGTTGGTTCTTTTTTTAATGAATCAATCAAACCGGTTCAGAAATCAGTCAGTGAATGATTCATTAGTGATGTAGTCTTTTTTTAAAGGGGACCTATTATGCCCCTTTTCACAAGATCTAAATCAAATATTTGATGTCCCCAGAGTGTGTATGTGAAGTCTTAGCTCAAAATACCCCACAGATATTTTTATAGCATTTTAAAATGGCCAAATTTGGGCTTGTGCAAAAACGCACTGTTTTAGTGTGTTTCCCTTTAAATGCTAATAAGCTGCTGCTCCCGCCCCACTTTTCCAACGAGAGAGGTCCTCTGTATAAGCAGTATCATGTAATACATAAACATACCTGAACTCCTGTAGAGAACATGAAACGTCTTCATTTATAACTGAGTACCAACAGACTTGGTCAGCGGTTTTGCATCTGTCTGGCAAGCAATATCTCTTGTTTCGCTGCTCTGTTCTGATGTGCTGTCCTTTACAAATAAAGATTCCACTATCAGTGCGATAAAAAAATAACAACATAGCTGGACAGACTCATGGTACTATCATATGCAATCACAAACTTTATAAGTCTAACATGTTATGATCGACAAAGGCAATTTGGAAAACAAAAGCGTAATACTTCTAGATGTGTAGCTGGATCACGAACAGTTGGCACTGCTACATCCTTCAGGAGCAACTTTTTACTAAATAGATAGAGCTATGTGGATTAATACATCCAGCTACACAACACCGACAACGCTTGGGAGACATTCTCGTCAGTGCAGCAATGGCGGATGTGTACAACTCTCAACTCGCTGTGAACTCGATCAGGGGTGCGTTTCCCAAAAGCATCGTTGGCCAACTATGATCGCAATTTCCATTGAACTCTATTGGTAACGACGGAACTTGCGACCATAGTTGGCTTTGGGAAACACACCTCCAGGGCGGTTCTATGTTAAAACGGCAGTGTCTGTCAACACTCGTGGGCGGGGCCTGTGGCTTTAGTGACGTCGTTGGGAGACACTGCTTATGATTTATGGGGATTTAAAAAAAAGGAGTGGGTGGATTTTTATCACTGTAGGGTGGTTGTGTACACACACTGCCAACACACATTTATGTCCAAACACCATGCAAAAGTGAATTTTGCATAATAGGTCCCCTTTAAAAATCCTTATCCAGTAACCATCAAACAACTGGAAAGGTCATGGAAAAGCTATTGATATTTATTAAAAAGGGTGAGATCCCTATAAACTGTCTTGCAGCGTTTCATAAAAGAGTGCAAAATGGAAGCATTCTCTCACTAGTGGTCTCAGACTGTTTTAAAATGAATAATTGCAATCAGTCATCATAGCAAAATAAACCCCAACATTAAAAAAATATATATTTGACAGCATGATTCTGACCAATCAAAATCAAGCATTCCAGAGATCAAATATACTGTTTTATGACAGTAAATAAGGTGTACACTACCTGTCCAAAGTTTGGGGTGGGCAAGATTTTTTAATGTTTCTAAAAGAAGTCTCTCACCAAGGATGCATCTATTTGATAAAAAAAATACAGTAAAAACAGCAATATTGTGAAATATAATTACAATTTAATAATATTTTCTATTTTATTATTGTAAAATGTAATTTATTCCTGTGATGGCAAAGCTGAATTTCCAGCAGACATTGCTCTAGTCTTCAGTGTCACATGATCCTTCAGAAATCATTCTAATATGCTGATTTAGTGCTAAAGAAACATTTCATATTATTATCATTGTTGATTGAACATAAGTTTGTCATTTTTGTAAATACGTAGAACTACTCTATGGTGTTTCTATTTGTAATAAATTGCATTCTTTTTCCTCTTCATAGTATCTGGAGCTTCGTTTTTGTAAAAGTGTTCGGATATGTGGCACTGCGACCTTCATCTTTCAGATGGTGAGTTATGAGCAGCACCTGGGTGTTTGCAACAAGTTATTAAAACCTAAAGGAGTAATAATCTAATAATCTAAAGTAATATTGTCTTTTACTCCAGTTTTGCTAGGCACAAAGACGCCCTGTTGTCAATATAAAAACTTGAACTTACACCTACAAATCTATTCTGCACCCACCCCCCCCCCCCCCCCCCCCCCATTGATATGGACAATATTTTACTCCGCGTTATGGATCTAAAGTGTAATGATTCTCAAAACTATCAGTTACTAGATGTGGAAATTCAGAGAAAAAAGGTTATTATGTCCCAAAGCAATCTAGTGTGTCTGCAGAAAAGCATCCGTTACATCTGTCTACGTATTTATGTATTTTTCCGCAGGTTATCTATATGGGAGTTGTTCTGTATGCTCCCGCACTTGCACTAAATGCAGGTAAATGAGATTATTTATGCATTACTAGAAATGCATGTCGCTGTATATCAGATCTGTAGTTTATTTCATGTTTTGTTTCTCTGGTAAATGTTTCTTTGAATTTGTTTGTGATCGCAGTAACAGGTTTTGACCTTTGGGGAGCAGTGCTAGCCATGGGATTGGTGAGCACGCTTTATACAGCATTGGTAAGTTGGAGAGGCAATTAATCAGAAGTTACATTTATAATGTTAAAACCCTACTATTCTAAACCTAGAAACATTTGAATGGTAGTCTACATTCTAACTCACCTGTTCCTCTCTTCTCTGTGCCAGGGGGGTCTGAAAGCAGTGATCTGGACAGACGTGTTCCAGACAATCGTGATGTTTGCGGGGCAGCTGGCAGTGATCGTGGTGGGTACCCACCAGGCAGGGGGCATCGCTGAAGTATGGAGGAAAGCACAAAACGGCAGCCGTATCTCAGGCCTTGAGTTAGTGTTGCGATTTTATATCATTTTGTTTCAGATATGAGTTGACATGAAGGAACGGTTTACCCAAAAACTAGTTTTGTCCTTATTAACTCAGCCTAGTGTCATTCATTTTGGGTGAACTGTTCCTTTAAGGTTATCTAACAAACACTGATCCACATACCAGAATTGTAATGGAAGCCTACATTCATTGTTTTGTGGTCCCCTGTGGCAGCCTGAACCCTGACCCGTTAGAGAGGCACACGTTTTGGACTCTAGGAGTGGGGGGCGTTTTCCTCATGCTGGCCCTGTATGGAGTGAATCAGGCTCAGGTCCAGAGATATCTCAGCTCCCGCACAGAGAAAGAGGCCATAATGTAAGAAAACACCTCACTCTGGTCAAGTCAATAGAACTTGAAACTGTAAACTTGTTTTATGTACCATTTGCACATTTGTTATATTAAATTACTGCAACAAAACTCTATGATTTCAGAGCACCAGTGACATGCTTTATTATTATTGTATTTTGGTGGTTAATGTTTGTTTTCATAAAGTGGCCAGTACATTCTGAAAGGTTTTTGGGGTGTCTTGTTCTCCAGGTCCTGCTATGTGGTGTTTCCATGCCAACAGGTTGTGCTCACATTGGGCTGTCTAATGGGTCTTGTTATGTACGCTCGATATGGGGAGGAGAGCCCCCTGGATAAGGGCTACGTCAAAACCAATGACCAGGTCTGAAAATAATAACTATATTTTTTAGTTTAAATCTTATTGTTTGTTTTTTTTCTCTGAAGTTTTATACCATTTACCATTCTCGTGTGTGTGTGTGTGTGTGTGTGTGTGTGTGTGAGTTTATAATTTCCTTTTATTCAGCAATCAGCACACTATTGTTGAATTTACACTATCGTACAAGTTTGGAGTCAGGAAGATTTGACTCTTTTTTTTCTTTTTTCTTTTTTTAAAGAAGTCTCTTATGCTCACCAAGGCTGCATTTATTTGATCAAAAATACAGTAATATTATCAAATATTATTGCTATGTAAAATAACTGTTTTCTAGTTTAATATATTTTAAAAACGCAATTTATTCCTGTGATGGCAAAGCTCAATTTTCAGCATCATTACTCCAGTCTTCAGTGTCACACGATCCTTCAGAAATAATTCAAATAGCCTATGCTGATTTGGTGCATTACATTTTTTTTTTTATAAAAAAAATAAATAAATTCAGGATTCTTATTTGAAACTGATATTTTTTTGTAACATTATAAATGTCTTTACTGTCACTTTTAATCAATTTAATGCATCCTTGCTGAATAAAAGTATTAACTTATTTGAAAAAAATCTTACTGAGCTCAAACTTTTGATTAGTAATGTATGTTAATTTGATCAATGGGATCATGAGAAAGTCACTCGCCACCTCTCTCTCTCTCTCTCTCTCTCTCTCTCTCTCTCTCTCTCTCTCTCTCTCTCTCTCTCTCTCTCTCTCTCTCTCTCTCTCTGTAGATGGTACTGTACTTTGTAATGGATGTGTTGAGAGATCTTCCTGGTTTACCAGGACTGTTTGTTGCCTGCCTGTTTAGTGGAGCTCTCAGGTATCAACCAGAGTTTGTGATAATCCGTCTTCCACAATCTTATTGTCATTTTTTACATTTTTAAAATGTTCTTCTTTAAATGGTGTTTGCTTTATCTTATAGCACAATCTCATCTGCCTTCAACTCTCTGGCAACAGTTACCATGGAGGACTTGATCAAACCACATGTCCCAGCCATGACGGAGGCTCGTGCCACCCTCTTATCAAAAATGTTGGGTTAGTGAATTTTCAGTAACTGTCTGAAAGGCAGATCTTTTTTGATTATTTTTCTATGAGTGGTCCATCTCCTCCCCTTATGTTCCTGGTTAGTACAGCGATATTAAAAAATATATTGTCCATACTAAACTGAAAGCCCATCCTGGGATCATAGTATTTTTTTTTGTCGTTATATTCCCCCACAGCGATTGGCTATGGGCTTGTGTGTCTAGCTATGGCGTACCTCGCATCCCTAATGGGCTCTGTGCTGCAGGTGAGGTCCATGATTATCATAACATGATATAATAATAAGATAAATACAAGTAAATTTGAGGTGTCATTTAATTAAATGTAATCGTACAGTTAACAATCTTTCTGTCTATCTCTGTGTTTTTTTCCCTTCTGTTAAATCCTTAAGGCGGCACTCAGTATATTTGGGATGGTGGGAGGACCTCTTCTTGGCCTTTTCTGTCTTGGGATGTTTTTTCCTTGGGCCAATTCCACTGTAAGTCAAAAAGCAAAGTATTCAAACAAAGCACAAAGCTGTTCAAAAGTTTGGGGTCGATAAGATTTTAAAAATGTTTTTGAAAGACGTTTCTTATACTCAAGGCTGCATTTATTTGATCAAAAATACAGCAAAACAGTAATATTGTGAAATATTATTATATAATTTAAAATAACTGTTTACTGTAGTAATATATTTTAAAATAATAAATTTATTCATGTGATGGCAATGGTGAGTTTTCAGCAGCAACTACTCCAGTCTTCAGTGTCACATGATCCTCCAGTAATCATTTTAACCCTCTGGGCTTCTTCGTAAATGGGTTACACTTAGCTTCCTCCCGGTCAAAAACGGACGAAGCCTTAAAATGTAACTTTACTTTTTCCCAGGATAACCAATCAAATATTGTTTTGTTCTATAATATTTTCTGATTATTATTTAGAATTTTTAGAATTTTTTATGATACTTTGCATTAATTATATAATTTTTATGAGCTATTTTTTCCATTAGAATTAATATATATATTTTTATTTTATATTTATTTTAAAAAAAAAATCAATAAATGCAACATTTCACATCAAAATAGAGTGCCAGCCAAAAAAAAAAAAAATGTTCAAGTAGAAGAGCGCCATCTAGTGGCTTTAAAAAATAGTTAAATGTGTGCAATGTCCTGTACCAGCCTGTAGGCTGCATATAGCTTCCTATATAAATACATAAAGGCTTTTTGATTCCTTTTGTTGTTTTAGACATGATTTCTCTATCTTATTCGTTTTTTTTAAAATTTAGATATAGATTTTAGATATTCTAAAGACTTTATTTTTGTAACAATTTTTTTTAGATAAGTATCAGGTTTTGCATTATGATTAAAATCAAACTATAGCATTTGGTTAGAAAGGGAACACAATGCAAACATTTTTGTTACTCAGTATTTGATCATTCAAATAATTAAACAAAATAAGGGATGGTTAGTGATAATTCAAAACACTTTATACAGACATTTAGCAATAAATTGGTATTTTTTATTTATTTATTTTTGCATATTCTCAAAATTTGCTGTTGCAGTCTTACCAGTTAATCTCTCTCTCTCTATCTCTCTCTCTCTCTCTCTGTGTGTGTGTGTGTGTGTGCATTTGAGCGAGATTTTTTTTTTTTCATTTATTGATTTTATTTTGCATATTCTACAAATTTGCTGTTGCAGTCTTGCCAGTATATCTGTGTATGTGTGTGTGTGTTTGTGTGCGTGGGTGTGTGTGTGTGTGTGTGTGTGTGGGGGGGGGGGGGGGTCTTATTTGCACTCTTGATGTTTTAGAGTGTCACCCCTTCATTGCTGTACACTTTTTTTCTGCACAGTGGCTGATCTGTAGCTTGTACCACCAAAAGTTTCTCTGAGTTTTCCTATTTTTTCATATCTCCCATTCATTTCCTATGTCGCCCATTTTTGACCGGGAGGAGGCTAAGTGTGACTATTTTTTTTACGACCCTTTAACATATCAGAATCATCTCCTTGATTTTTTGTGTGTGTTCACCAAGTTTCACCCCCATCCGATGAAGCAAAAAAATTAAACAATTCAAAATGTAAACGTTTTCGGTCATTTTCGGACGAAGAAGCCCAGAGGGTTAAATTATTATTTAGTGTTTAGTGTTCATTTGATTTAACAAAACATTTTCATGATTTTTTGATGAATAGATAGTTCAAAAGAACAGCGTTTATTGAAACAGAAAACTTTTGTAACATTATAAATATCTTTACTATCACTGTTGATCAATTTAATGCATCCTTGCTGACAGTAATTTATGTTAAAAATAAATCTTACTGACCCAAAACAGTGTTGTAAATATCTTTTTTACTGAGTATCTTGTCACTAATGCACTGAAATTCAGTAGATTTCATGGTTTGATTTCATTTCATGGACTGAGTGTGTTTTCAGGGTGCTCTGGTTGGACTGGCATCAGGGCTGGTCATGGCTTTCTGGATCGGTATCGGCAGTTTTGTTTCACGTATGTCTCCACCTGGGATAAATGGCACCATCATGCCTGATGTAGGAAACATGACAACAGCTATCATGACGACGCTCATCACAACTAAACCCAGGTGTGTATTTATAAGAAATAAATAATGCTCAATAATCCATTTTCTGCTCTGAAACGCTTGATTACTTTCTTGACCAATGAGAAATTGATTATTTTAGTGTCTGTGGCCAGTTGCATAAACTGGTCATACAGGTTATACATCTTGTTTCTGTAAGACTGGTCATAACTTTTTTTTTTAAGTCTGTTGCATTAAAACATAGACTGGTCTATGTTGAGACCGAAAACTGGTGCGAGTGCAGGACAACCTGTCACTCACATGAGATCACAGTAACAGCAAACCACAATGATACAACCATCCAGTTAATTCTCAATGGACAAAATCAAGTGCCACCCAGCCACCCTACTTTTATTGTTATTTTTTTTGAAAAGCCATTTATAGTTATACGTCACAATAGGGAAGAAAAGACTATCACAACGTATCATGCCGACTGAATGGCATTGTGCAGCTGGTCCCTGATTACAATTCATAAAGCCTTTTCAAAATGATAGCTATATTACAGACTAAACCGGCCCATTTATTGTGTCTTTTTGTCTTTTCAGGCCCTCTGGAGTTCAGGCTCTGTACTCTTTATCATACATGTGGTACAGTGCTCATAATTCTACCACGGTTGTGGTGGTGGGACTACTGGTCAGCTTTCTCACAGGTAAAGTGTGTTTCTAAACACTTCAACATTGGGACAACTTAAATTGTTACTCTTAAATTATATAAATGTTGGGTAGATACACTGGTAATTTGCTTTAGTACAATGACATATTAAAGCTAATTATTTATTTTTGGAAACATGTTGTTCTGATAATATAAAGTTTCTTGTTTTTGCACATAAAAAAAGGAAAAATGACCACATAAAAATATATAGATGCCTTTATATTTTAGTAAAGGGGACTCTCACAACGGTATCATCATATAAGGGAGTCCTTAGCGCTAAAATGTTTGAAAACCCCTGGTCTACAATGACATTTTTAGCAGTTGTATATTGGTATTATTTATATAATATTTTAGTGTTTACAAAAATTTTAAATTAGCTTTTATTTTTATATTTTCAGTTTTTATTGTAGTTTAAGTTTGAATAGCTTTTGTCATTTTTATTAGTTTTTATTGAGGTTTTATATATTATATATATATCTTTAATTTATTTTTGTTTCAGTTTTAGTTTAAGTAATTTTAGAATTTAAACTTTTTTCCCCAGTTCATTAGCAAGGCAACATTTCTAAGGTTTTTTTGTTTGTTGAGTTTTCATCTTATATTTTATTTTATTTTATTTTAGCTTTATTTCAGTTACTGAACACAATCTTTTATAGTTAAGTTTTAGTTAACAATAACACTGTTTATTATGCTGCAAAAATAAATAAAACATATTGTGGTTTGTGTCCACTCAGGGCCATGGAAGGAGAAGGACTTAAACCCAGGTACCATTTACCCTGTGCTTGGCACTTTGCTGTTCTTTCTGCCAGAACGGTACAGGGAGAAACTCTGCTGTGTAACCCCACTGGAAGACAAGGTAACTCAATAGAATGCTCTGTTGACATCACTTACAAAATCCAGTTTCATTTACAACATTCCTACTTTCATTATGGGCTATAGCCCAAAGGTCTGGACCTCCAGCCTTACCTGATGGCCCAGATAAAGAGCAACGGTGTTGCCTGCACTAATGAAGAAGACAAGATCAGGGAAGAGGAGGGAGAACAGATAACCGCCCAGCCAACTTGTAACCTGGCCCATACGGTGCAGGAAACAGCCTTGTGAAATCTCCTACACTATGTCAGACCTAAAGGACACTTAGTTTCCCACACGCTCAAGGAGAAAAACATCTGTTAGAATGTCAACAGATGCCAGCGATGGAGGTGAGGGGTTGTCTTGTTTATATGTGATACTTTATGATGTCAGTGGTCTGTCATAAAAATCGTATTGTGTTTGAGATCCTGTTGAACAAATTGAGATGTGTTGAGCTGATGTGATCACCTAAATCTTTTAGTTTACATGTCCTAAATTTAATCTTAAGATTACTTGGTTGAATATTGCTGGGTCGTGATATATGCGTCGCACACGCACAAATCAAACGAACGGCGGGTTTAAGATTTAAGGTTTATTACAAGAAAGACCACAGTTTGCACAAATCTTTAGTCGTTTAATGTCACTGCCATTCAAGTTTCGGGGTTTCTCTCTCCCAAAGATTTTGTTCACTACCATTAGCCTTTCCATTCTGTTTGCCTTTGAAAGCACTACAGATGAGTTCACTAAACCGAGTTAAGTTTACAGCAAATGAAGAATGGCTAGTATCGAAAAATGTAAATGTAGTGAACTTTCAGCGTGTCATCTGCAGTGAAGAAGTGCCATATTGTGATCGATCCAATGAATCTAATGCCTGTTTAATCTGTAGTTACCTCATTGAAGCCCATTGTTTGTGACAAGTGCCTCCTCATATGAATGTATGATGTAGTTTTGTGACTGGATTGTTTCTTTAGTTTGTCGTTTTCGTAGTCTAACCCAAATGGAGCATGGCCCTGACCATGATAAGATGTTTTTTAAGCATCTGGATGCCCCTCTATTGAATTCCCATGATGCTTTGCATTTTGAGAGCCTGGCTAACTATACTTTAACATCTCAAAAAATATATATTTATGTTTGCCTAGATTGTATATTATTTTGATATACATAAAACCATCTTGAATTATGACCCTGATAAGATGGTTTTTAAGCATCTAGATGCCCCTCTATTGAATTCCCATGATGCTTTGCATTGTTAGAGCCTGGCTAACTTTACTTTAACATCTTTAAAAAATATATATATATATGTTTGCCTAGTTTGCATATTATTTTGGTATAGATGATTATTTAGGGAAAGGTCATGTTTAGAAATGTTCTTTAAAGGAACACGTTGACTTTTGGGGACTCCCCCAGAGCTAGATAAGTCCATACATACCCTTTTCATCTCCGTGCGTGCTGTAACTCTGTCTGACGCACTCACCGCTAGCCTAGCTTAGCACAAAGACTGGAAGTAAATGGCTACAGCTAGCATACTGCTCCCAATAAGTGACAAAATAACGCCAACATTTTCCTATTTATATGTTGTGATTTCTATAGTCACAGTGTGTACAAATAACAAGGTCATATGAGACACAGCCATCTTTTAACCGTATACATACTGGGAACTATATTCTCAGAAGGCGAAGCACTGCTACTTGGGTAGACTTATCTAACTCTGGGGGATACGTTGAATAAGCTAAAGTCCCAAAAAGTCGGCGTGTTCCTTTAAAGTTACAATAGCCTATGATTCACATATTTGATCTTAGATTTAGTAGTAAAGATGCTTGTTATAGTATCAAGAGTACTATGATGAAGACTAACTGCATAGAATTGAAACCTCAGTGCTGGTTACTGACCATAATTATCAGTATTAGCATATGAATTGATATGGTTGCACTTGGATTCTTGTAATTTGATTCGTTTTTGATGTTATAGTGGCATTTTCTGTGCATTGCTGTCTAATCCAAATTCAAACCTCAGTCTAAGCCATACCATTTGTAGTTGCTATAGGATTCCTAGGTCCTTGTATTGTGCCTATGACTGGAACGAGAACTTTCTCTGAACTGTCACAATCACACAAACACAGATATTCTATTGTAGTCTATTATATTTTCATTTTTCAGGTTATGTGCGCTCTGGGTCAACAGTTTTTGGAAGTCTTGCGGTTTTTGTTTGTTTGTTTATTGTGGGTGTCTCATCTTGGTCTGGTGACAGTTTTACATTTGTCTTCAAAGAATCATCCTATGTGGAATCATGATCGTTTCATGGTGACTTTAAAATTAATTTCTTAAGCAAACATGCTGTTACACCACGTCTTGCTGTTTTTTCAACATCCTGCTTATGGGCGCTGCATTTTTAAAATGGCATGCCATGATAAAAAAAAACATTTTTTAAAGGGTCTCGAGAACAGTGTAGGGGACATTTATTTTTAAAAGTAATGCATTACAGTATTGTGTTACTCCCTAAAAAAGTAACTAATTGTGTTGCTTTTTATTGAAAGTAACACATTACGTTTTTATTAATTGAGGAATACTGAATCTGGTTTTGTGCAAGTGAGATGAGTAAATGCCTGCTCACATTTAGTCTAGAACTACAATAACCAGTATGTTTACACAGCGCACACAACACCTCTGCACTTACCCCCGGTTTCTCTCAACTTGGGGACAGACAGGAGAGCTGTTCAGTAAATGGGAAAACAAAGTAATTTGCATCATTTATTTGAAAAAGTAACTTAGATATTTTGTTAATGTGTTATTTTACTCATTACTTGAAAAGTAATCTAATTATGTAACTCACATTATTTTTAGTCACATTTTAACTCATATACATTACCCCCAAACACTGCTCGAGATCCTGCGTTCTTTTCATTTCGTAACGCTGTCTCGGATGTCTCTTTTGCTGCACTGCTTCTTGCTCGATTCCGTTATGATCCATCTTGCTGTGTTTTGAAAGTTACTTTGTGTCTAGCCTTTACTTCATATTGCTCGATGAACGCCATATTTTTAAGACATTATTTCAAGTTATACTATTTCTAACTTTTTAAACACATCCTTACATTCCATTGCAATCCTTTGTTTTTGAATGCAAGTACGCATCCTGTGTGAATTAAAGGCCCCAAGGGTTAGTTGAGTGATGATGACACTCTACATTTCATAAGATCTTCACTCCTTTAGAAATACGACACATTTTTTAGCCTAGCCTGGTTTTCAAACGTCTGCTACGGAGCCGATGTGTGTTCAATGTTCATTCATTCTTGAAACTATTTTTAATCCATCCAGTTCGAGCTTTTAGATTAATAATGATATTTATTTCAGGTATGGTAATAAAGAAATTTGTTTGGGATTTAGAAACTTGAGCATTCCACTCACATGGTCCGATAGAGATTATCCCTTTAATGTAAAATGTAAACATTGATTTCTCATGTTCTCCTATTACATTCATTGTGTAAAAGACATTGTTCTTAATATTATTAGTGTCATAATGTAGTACGTGTAAGACTGGATCAATTGCGTGTTGAGTTGCCATCCGTCATACCTGAAATTACTTGAATTATGTGTGTAAAATGCTTTAAAACACCTGAACTTTTAAAAGTATAGAGCACTTGATTTTACAGACTGAATACTGCATCTAAATTGTTCCACTGATGATTTTTTTCTCTCTCTCCTAAGAGTGTGTTAATTCAGAATGCATTTCCCCTTTGAGCGATGAAAGAAGGAATGAATCACCACAGACACACTTTAAATCTGCCTACAACAGGACTAATTGTTAAGGCACAGGCAGGGACTGAACTATTATAAGCTATGCTGTCCTACAATCTAAAACTGTGTAACCCTTAGAGAATCAACCTTGGGGGGCCTATGTGGAGAAAAGACACTGAGCTCTACTGTGAGAATAGTTTTTTTATGACATTTTTAATATACATTTTATATGGGAAGCACAACACTCGTTAGTACAAAATAAATATTTAAATACGTAATATTTATGTTTGTATAAATATTATGAGAATATTTATTTTTATGGAAAAAGTTTTCCTATTTTATTTTCCCAAATATGCATTCCAAAAAACCATAAGCAATGGAGTCTGACCAGCTTGATTGCTTTGGGCGTGCCTTCACCTAGTGTCTCTTGATTTGATTGGTCGTGAAAGTTCCCTCAGAGAACTTTCCTTTATGTGAAAAAGAGGCAGTTGCATTGGCCTGCAGAGCGTCTATAGCGATGATCATTTTATTTAAATAGATGAATGCAGAATAAAGGAACCGATAGCCACTCTAGTGGGCATTACTTTGAACCATGAACACTCATTTTTTCCTCTTGATGAATTGTTTGTAATGAGAATGTGATATAAAATTCATCTTGATAAAAATAAAAATGTCTTCCTGACTGTCTTCTGTGATTTCTGTCATTGCCACATATCACTAGGATTCAGTAACTGTGCTTAAAAAGTACTTCAATAAAAAATAGGCTAAAGTAAAATATTTTCATACTGTTTCATATCATATTGTGGTCCCATTCAAAAACACCTCAGCATCTTCATAAATAATCACATCAAAAGCAAGCTCCTGTCAATATAGAATTATTTAATTACAATTAAACAAAGGCACATTCCTTAGTATGTTACTAGCATTAAACAGCGCTATTACCGTACCTAAAAATAAATGTAATGCATTTGTTCATAATAGTGTTGATTAGCAGATTGTTGTGGTATAAGGGTTGTTTTTTTACTTCATGGTCATCACTGTTTAGATGCATTTATGAGAGTCCCATGGATATGAATAAGATGACATGGAATTACTCATTTCCTCTTTCTCTTCTCTACAATCTTGACAAAGTTCTGAACATCCTCTGCCAGTAACTGCGGCTCCTCCATAGCAGCAAAATGGCCCCCACGGGCCATGGGAGTGTAAGTCTTGAGCCTACGGTATTTCTGTGTCACCCACAATTTAGGGGTGTGCATCAACTCATTGGGGAAAGAGGCCACACCAGTTGGAACGTAAACTGGAAGCCTATGGGGTGAGAGAGAAATAGCACATTAATTAAGTGATCTTGCATTATGCACTACCATTCTTTGGGGTCACCATTCTTTACGATTTTTTATTACATCAATTCAGCAAGGGGACTATACATTTATTTACTGAGTGACGGCAAAAAAGTATATTTCAAATAAATGGTGTTTTTTTGAAATTTCTATCCATCACAAAATCCTGAAAAAAAGTACCACGATATCCCAAAAAAACCATTAAGCAGCTCAACTGTTTCAAACAGCAAATCAGTATATTAGAATGATTTCTGAAGGATCGTGTGACACTGAAGACTGGAGTAATGATGCTGAAAATTCAGCTTTGTCATCACAGGAATAAAGGAATTTTTAAAATATATTAAAATAGAAACGTTATTTTAATTTGCTATAATAATTCACAATATTACTGTTTTTACCCTATTTTTAATAAAATAAATGCAGCCTTGGTGAGCAAGAAACTTTAAAAACATTAACATCCCAGATGGTAGTGTCCATATTTACATGTAGAGCAGTTCCTGTGTCTAATATCTCCAAATACTTTTGGGAACACTATATTGAATAAACAATTAAGCTTCATGTTAATCAAAGCCTGTATTTCTCTTACTTTGCATGGGGCTGGTCTAAGCCTTTGCCAAAGTTCTCTTTGTAGAAGCGCATGGAGGATATAATGCACCTAGAGGTCCAGTAGATCATCACATTCGTCAGTAGATCATCAAGAGAAAACTTCCTGTTGGGCAATCAACAGATTATTTCACTGACTTTTAATGAAGCTAAACTAAAAATTTTAATTTTTTTTAAAGTACTACCTCTCCAGTCCACCATCCTCAAGTTTCTTAAATTCAGGATCAGTCCAGGTTGAAAATTTCTCCAAAATGTAGGCAGCCAAACCAACAGGAGAATCATTCAATCCACGGCCTGTGCAATACAGTCAAGCGTCAAATTAAATTTCAAATTCGATGTTACATAAAACCAAATATATAACCAATGGACCAATGTCACAACAGATTCATATGTGGAGTTTATAGAGTGCAACAGTGCCCGCCCCCTTTTTCAGTGGCACTGGTTCCGGTATTTTTTCCATTCATTTTTCCTATTGGGATTTTTTTTTAGGAAGTCTTCATTAAAGAGTTATAAGCCATGAACCAAACCAATCTGCTACAAGGTGAATCATAAAACTACAAACTTTGATTTTAAGCATTTTTTTTTTTTTAGAAAAGTACACAAAAAGACAAAGGTACAAGACTGTACTTAAAGGGACACTATGCAGCTTTTTTTAGCTTAACTGAACAGCTTCAGAGTTATTGAAATGGTTATATAACTTCTTTCGGGTTGAATGGTGGGCGTCTCGACCCCCCCTGGTGCCTGTGAGCGAAAAAATCTCACTTGCAACTTCGGTGCGGCGGGCCGCGTCAGGAAGTATCGCGTGATATCAGCTCTCGCGATGTAACATATTCCTTTACGGCAACTGCACACATACACACAGGAACAAGGTATAGATGGATGGAGTTTGTCACACTATCGTCATGGCTGAGCCGGCATATAAGATGCAGAAAGCTAGGAAAGCATTGTCGGAGGAACAGAGAAAGAGGAAACGGCAGACTGACCGAGTGAGGAGTCGGACACGAGCATAGGCATAATTTGCGGGTGTGTTATGTCCCCATTGAAACTTCTCGCGGCACGGATGTAACGTTACCATTACAAACAAATAAAACATCTCCAGGTAACTCTAGTAGAGCATTCATTTCGTTCGTTTGTTAAATAAGAGGCGATCTGAAATGTGTTAGTTTTGAAATCAAGTGACCAAAGTGCTCGTTGCCTCTGCGATCAGTGGTGCAGATAAGTTACAGTGTTCTGTTGTGACGCGCGCCTGAATCCGTTGCGGTGACTGAGAGACTCTCTATATTTTGTTATGGTGAAATCACAAAATCTAATGCACAAAACACATGTCCCTGCTTGAAATACAACCACTAATAAACAATCGGTTTTGATGAGGAAAATAAACTATACTATTAGTACCGATTAGAACCCAGAACCTCTGACACACTTGGCAAAAGTTCTGCCTCTGGACCATTAAAATTGTCGGATCTATGTATTTAATCACGTGAAAATTCTCACCACTAACAACATATATTATATCTCATTAAACGACAAATTAAACACAATGTACTATTGTATACTATGTAACAGGGCATGTCAAGCTCTGAGTGAGTGGTATTTACGACAGTAACATTAAATTCAAGTACTCCACAGTAACTCTAGGGGTCGCTGTTTGACAAAAACGGGATTTCTGCATAATGCCCCATTAACAGGTTTAGTTAGATTCTACTTAGTTAGATTCTACTTTCTCTTAGAAACTACAATCCCATGAAGCATTGCGAACAGCATTATCGAATTAAAATGACAGAGAAATATAAAACTATTCATTTTCAAATGTAGATAATATATATATATATATATATATATATATATATATATATATATATATATATATATAAACTAGGGATGGGCATTTTTCAAAAATATTGTATTTGAATATTTGGGCTCATAAAAATCGAATATTCTAATTATGTGTTTATTTAAATGACGTTTAACGAGAAAGATGTTATTTTTTATTAGTTCGTTTTTCACCAGGAATTCCACTGTTAAACAATTATTTTAAAAATAACCTGAAATTATGTAGGCTGACGGCTTCAGCAGAAGCACATATCATGGATTAACAACCTCGTAGCTCATAGTAGGTCTAAGTTATTGATCAATTTCACTATGGAGAAAATGAATGTTTTTACTTCCACAGCCGGACTGTTGCACTCTATTCAAAGATGCACATTTTTATCCATTTAATTCACTTTGAATATGTCTCTCACCTGCAGTGTCAGGTTTAGTGGATTGTATGTGCATGTATCCAGTCTCCTTCATGGCATTCACTACAAGCTTTTCCATACAAGGGAAAATGCGTTTCACATCATGTTCATTGAAGCCAAAGAGTTTGGGGAATCGTCGACCAAAAAGTATAGACAACACCATGAGAAGGCCTGGTTTTGCAGGTGGAGCAAAGTTAACGTGGAGGCCTTTCACAGCACTAAAAAGAAAGAAAGATCTTTTTATTTCTATACACATTATCTTCCTTTAATATATCTGACTTTAATTTACTGCATTCTATCTGATGATTTCAATGAAATGAAATACTTTAATACAGTGTTTCTCAACCACTAGGGGGCCTCAGCAAACCTCCAGAGGGCCCCAACAAGTCTTAAAATCAATGTTGTTCTTTTAACATAATCTTAAATAAATGTTGATTTAAGTACCAAAGGTATATATCAGTTAAAATAGGAGGGCCTTTGAATATTGTCTTGGACAAAGTTGGGCCTTGAAGTCAAAAAAGTTGAGAACCAATGCTTTTATACGTACTTGGGCTCCAGCTGGGTCATATTAGTGGTAATAAGCCAACCCCAGTCTCCTCCCTGAACGTAGTACTGGTTAAAACCAAGACGCTTCATCAGTTTATTAAATATGTGCGCTGCACATACAGAGTCGAACCCTGTGCAAAACACATTATGATCATAAAAATTGGAATTGTATGGAAAACAGACCAATTTACATGTTTTTAAACAATTAAATATCTGTTGGGTTGGGTTGTTTGCCATTTACCTTTCTTATGTGGGGCCTCTGAGAAACCATAACCAGGTATTGAGGGACAGATGACTTCGAAGGCTATGTCATCAGGGCTGACTGGCTCCGTAAGCAGGGGGATGATACCATAAAACTCATAGAAGGAGCCTGGCCATCCATGGACCATCATCAGAGGTACAGCGCGGGTTCCCTCTGGCAGGTTCTTCGGTTTCACGTGAACATAGTGAATATCAATACCTTTTTTAATAGAGGATACAACACAGAACAACAATGAAATCTGTTGTAGTGTACTATAATAGTGTACTTACTATGCAAAATGTAAGTGTCTATCTGTGAAAAATAATAGGTCTGCCCTGGATGATATTTATTTACTGAATAAAAACATATTTGTTTCTTACTAATTTTGTGGTGATGATTCCAAAAATAGTGCCAATTTTCTCACTAAAACATGATGTGCATTTCATAGCATTTTTGCTTTCAACAACCATTTGTACGGCGAGAAAGTCATCATAAAAACTGCCACAAAGACATGATTCCTATCTTTCTCTGAACCATGTTTGAATTATTTGTTTAATTCTCTGCTGATTTTCATATGTATAACATTATTTTAGGCCTAATCCTGATACATCAGAGGTGAATGTACAGTGAAATTTTAAAGTTTATAATTTAATTTAATTTTGTTTTACTACTTCCAAACAGCATTTGGTAAAAATTGTGGGGAAAAAGGTTTTGTGTTTATGTAAAGTTCTTAGACAGTATTTGAACACTCCTTTGCAAATTGTTTTAAAAAAAAGGTTAAAATATACATTTTATATACTTCTTTTTGTCATTAAAATGAAACCTTTGACATTTGACTGCTTTTGCTATTTTGATTGGTGCATTAAAAAAAATCATCTTTTTTTCACGTTTGTAAAAAATTATGTACATCACTGAAAGTTTTTAAAAAAAAAATTAATTCAGCATCATCAAATTAGATATATATTAGCTTTTTTGGAAATCAGCTGAATTTTTTTCCAAGATGCAGACATGTGTATTTCTCTCTATAGCTGTGTACTAGTTAAGACTCACCTTCGATTTTGGTTTTGAAATGAGGATATTTGTTCAGTTTATCCACTTGTTTGCTCCAACTAAAATCATTCCTCCAATAAGACACAACCTTATCAAGGTATTTGGAGTTGAAGCCATAGTTAAACTGACTATCTTCAAGAGAAGGAAAGGAGCGGGTCTGATCCAGCCTGCGGTGCAAATCCTAAGGAATATAAAGGAGCTTTTTCTAAAGACAAATCCAAAAAGTATATCTCCACTGAAATAATTATTCCAAATTTTATTTTGATGATGACATCAGGATTTACCTCAATCTCTTCTGGAGTTGTCTCAACTTTAAACGGGCGGATACTATCGTCCTCAGGTCCTTGGGGACAAGCTCCCACACCCCACCACCCATCCTGAGCTTTCAGGACATTCTTTCTCTTCTTCAGGAATACCAGAGCAATCACTGCTCCGAGCCCCAATGCCACTGCCAACTCTATGTACATGGTTTAAGGGCCTGGAATAAAGCAAATAATAGTTATTATCAACTAGCTTTAACCTGACATGTCTTCCTCAAGGGGTAATTGATGATAGCTAGCTCATGGATCACCCCTTGCAGAATATGAACCAGCAACCTTTCATTCCCCTAGGCAACATTATTTTAATGCATGAATGCAAGAAAATAGAGCAAAGGTTTATTGTTGCACAACATTCCCAGCACTGGGATTAGGGTGGACAAAGCTCGGTGGTAACAACATGTGGGTCACAATGTACGACAAAGCTTTTCTGTCTAACTCCTAATGCACAGTAAATACCTTGTGAATAGCAATCTGTTGATTTGATCTGTGCTAATTATGAATTATTCACAGAAATATCATAAAACATAACCTCACCTGACAATTTTTTTTTCTGCAGTTAAATGATATAAAAAAATATCTGAATAATAATTTATTTAATCTAACAGGCTAGATGATTATAGTGGAATTATAGCAATAGACTAAGCTAAATTCTTCTCATTCCTTATCTTGAAAGAAAAGAAACGACGAGTCGCTGACAGAACCTGCACAGAAGTTACTTGCAAATCCATTTACCCTAATAAAGTTATTATTAAAAGCTGTATAACAATGAAGTTGTTGCATAATGAGTTTTATTTCATGAAATATGTAAAAAAAAAGAAGAAAAAAAAGAACTGAGAAAAAAGAACACACTAGTATGTTGTTGAACATTAGTTAACAACGTAACTAGGTAAAACATGCAAAAACGCCGATTAATAGGCCTAACACCAGACATGATGCCCACTCACCTCAATGTAGCAAAGTTGCTGTGTGACCGTTTAGCACGGCACCAAGACGCAGTAGCATAAGCACAATGCACTATGGGAAATGTAGTCACAAAGGCGCTTTGCTCACTTCCTTTGGAAAACCCTTCTTGGAAAACACGTCCGTCATTCTGTTCTGTGAAATTTGTTTACGTCCTTCTTTCAGATAATAGTGGTGGTTTTATTTTAGTAAAGCTAACTGCACACCAAGCAAACGTTTTCACATTTCACGATATTGTATTTTGATTGTAGTTCTTATATGACCCTGTAATTAAGTTAGATAGGTCTAATTGTTTCAAGACGTTCTCTTTTTAAAATCAAAACATTAAAAAAGTAAAAAATAAAACTGTTTTTTTTTTAAACTGCCCAACATTTAACTTATGCAAATTATGATTGTTCGTAAAGCACTTTTTTCAACGGCTTTTATAAATAACATTAACCGTTTTTTTCCAACGGCTCTGGTGTGTGGGAAAGACTGATAGGGCGAAGTTTCTCACTCGCGAAAAAAACGTTACTGAAAAACTGACTGGACTGAAGCAGTGCACGCTATGAGTGCACGGCCAAAGAGTCTGACAGGAAGACAAGCAAACTAATACTTGGGAAGGGCTTTCTGAGGTAAAACACGTTTGTCTGACAACTAACTATTTCAGAACCTCATTTACACAAACATATTAGTGTTACAATAATATTTTAGGTGAAGGTTACCTGCAGTTGCGGACCGACAACGCTGAAAATCGACCTGCTTAAGATGGCCTACTCTCAAAATACTTTCTCCATTGTGGTACGGAAGGAACACATACTAAAAGCCTAGGTATATTCAATGTGACAATATGTGCTAGACAAGTTTAGTACATTTATAACTGTGGTAGTACAAACTTAAAAAAAAAATTCCATGAAGAAATGTGATTGATTTTTTTTTTTTTTTACATTTTAAACATGACAGGTAATACTTGTTGGTCATCCTGAACAGGTAACTTTAAGCCAGATGTTGAGAACAGTAAATTGTATCCATATACCGACACTGAAGTCCTAGCAAATATAAAAACAAAGGTTAACATTGTTAAAAAAATAGATTAAAATGATGTCACTGTGCACAAACGTTGGGTGTCAATAATTACTTTTTAATTTAACTGTAAAAGCATTGTTACATGTTTGTAGACTGTAATGCTGTTAGAAAGTGAGAGTAAAATGAAATAGGATGAAAAAAAGAGAGAAATTTATTTAGGTTCAATGTACGTCATGCATAGACATACAAACTAGATTACAATGAAATCCTAAGAAATGGAGAAGGTCCTGTTTCGAAATGTATTCCCTTGATGTTGGTGCAGTTAAAACCCACTTGTTCCAAACATTAAATAATAGGCAGACCAACTGAAACAGAACTGTATAACCATTACAACGTTGTCCGACCTCCAGAATAAGAACAAAAATATCAGCATCTTGTATAGGATGTTTCCTCTTGTCTTGCTGCTTGCTCTCCAAACGAGCATAATCTTGAACATTCTCAGTATACAGTCAAAACACATCAACCAAACTTCATCTCCATCCTCCTGTAGATCCGTCTCTCTTCAATATCAGTCAGATTGAGTAACAAACAACTGTCCAATCCCAACAGGTCCTTTGATTCATTCAGTCCGTTTCCATAGAACCACTGTGGGTCTCTTTGGAGACCATTAATCTCATCAACTTCCCATGCAGTTTCTCGATCTTCTTTACATCTTGGGCCTGGTCAGTCTTGTACTGTAAACACTGAGAAGAAACGTACAGTGAATCCAACATGATCTACATAAGACCACACACAAAACAGTCTTCTTGCAAGGGCTAAAAACGTACATACCACAGCATCATCTGTGACCTTCATACAGAGATTTCCATCACAGTGTCGATATTTCAGAACCACTCTGACCTGAACGGACAACATTAACAAGACAGTTACTGTGCATCAGTACATGGAAGGTTTGAATACTGCAGTTTTTCTCTGGCTGACAGTTTCATTTTCAGGCATTCATATACACGATAGTGTTTGTACTTACAGACAACAATTCGAATTCGCTCTACAATACATCTGACCCAATTTAAGTTTATTTTTGACTGTAAAATATGTGCTTGTAGCCGGTAGCCTAAAAATAAAAGGTTGTTTATCAATTACCTTCATCGGGTCCGTCAAATAAAGTTTTTCTGCTGCTCGCGCAAATTCTTCCCACGTCTGGTAATAAGGCATGATGTGATAAACACTAAATATAGGGTATTCTGGTAAATACTTTAGAGGCGTAGAAATATACAGCTGTTAAAAGTAAAACCCAGGTGGCATAAAATATGGCCACTTTGAGTCGTAGAAAAACGCACTCTGATTGGTCAGCAGCTGAGCTGGCCAATATAAAACGTGCACACTGACGAGTAATCACTACGTAGTGTACGTGGTCGGATTTGAGGATTGTGATTGGTTCATAGAAATAGAATGAGCGGTAGAAATGACGATTAGAATGAAAAGAAAGGCGGGGCTTAGTAGCCGCGTTGTCACGTGGAATCTGCGACGTTTTAAATCACTAAGTCAGGGCGGATCAATCATAATTATTTGTGATGACTTCATTTAAAATAATTTTTATAGAAATTGCTAAATAGAATTTACATGGTTAAGTTATGTACATAGGCATAGCCATTGGAATAGAATATTTTAAACGATTACACATTTTAGTTACAAATGCATTTAGTAAGACACAGAACGTCATGTGATTTGAATGCGGCTTAGAGGAGGATTCGGTATTTTGAGCCATGTTTTGAGCCACTATGCGCTTCCTGCTGGTAAACAATCGTCTCACCGTATCCAAGACAAGCACTTATTTAAAATATTTCCCGTAAAGGGCCGGTGAACGACAGCTACACTGACGTGTATTTAGTCAGAGGAATATAAAGACCTGTTATTTTGAACTGTTAATTCATTCATTCAGAAAAATTGGGACATTTTTTCCCCAATCATCTCAATGGCAAAAAGTGTCCCAATTTTCCGAAATACATGAAATACAGTGTCATTTTCAAATCTCGAAAAGCAGTATATAAGCAAATTTTAAATGTTTGTTAATGTTTTTCTGTTTGTTGCTGCTTTGGAAATACATGCATTTGTGATTTTCGTGGCTCAAGCACGATAATGTTTTAGCATGTGTAACCAATTTTTATAAGAGTGCACCAGTAGATGGCAGTGTCGACCTTTTTTTTTTAAAGCCTGGATATTTAAACCAAAAATTCAAACTGTAACCCAAATGCTTTCCCTTTCATTCTCCCTTCAGTCATAGACCCTATCCACATATACCCAAATCTTCATATAGTTCATTAGAGTCAGAGATGTATGAGAAACCTAGTTGATCTGGTAACTGAGATGTGGGGCCCAAGTCGCAAGGTTTGAACACTTGTGATGAACCATCAGATCCTTCACTTCTGCCATCAAAGCAAGCACACCATTGGCTCTTTTTATGAACAGCTGACAGCACACAGATTATAGTCAGATAACCAGGGCCGTGTTAAGACAGTGTGGTGCCCCTGGGCACTATACTCAAAAGGCCCACTATATTCAAATGTGTCAATTAAAAATGTACATAAATTAATTGACAGCGTCAATTCACGTTTGCCCAAAAATAATAATAAATCTATCAGGTTTCTTACCTCTACAGGCATGAAAAGGGGTCAGGGGTGAAAAAGGTGAGAAGGATATTATCCCTCTAGGGGGGTCCGGGGGCATGCCCCCCCGGAAGATTTTTTTTAAATATTCCATATTTTATAGCATCAATCTGATGCATTTTGAGATGCATTTTTTTTGCCAACCTGGGGAGAGTTGGAGAAACTTAACTTCAGCCATGAGTCAAAAATATTATGGCCTCCGTAGCGTTAGCTAATAATTTCCCACCAGAGCTTTAGCTAGCTGGCTAATGTTGCGTTCTCTCCTGCTGTGTTCAACTCAATTCATCAAGCTGTAACTAACGTTAGCAAAGCCTATGTCAACAGAGCTCCTGGGTAACTTAAATATAGCCTACCAGAAAATATTAGGGCTGTCCCGATACCATTTCTTCTGAACCGATCCAATCCGATACCAAAAATTCTGAGTATTGAATTATACCGATCCGATACCAGCGCAGTTAAAAAAAAAAAAATCAAGTAGAATTTCTATAACTCTGTGTGTTGAACTGATAATCACTATTTTCTGTTAAACACAATCTACTTAATACAGACAACTTCATTATAAAGAAAAACAACAAATAAAAAAAAATATGATAATAACCTATGACAAAAATTCTATTATATAAACTAGATTAGTGGGTAACTCAGCAGTAAAATTTAGTCTAGAAAAATCACAAGTGCACAATAATTGTATAAAATCGAACATTTAGTGGAAAAAAAACATTTTTTTAGTGAGGAACAAATAAGAGACAATAAGTGTAGCACTAAATCTGGTAAAACGTTTTCATGTATTAAGTTTAGCAGAACTGCTCCTTCCTTGATTTTGCGCAAGCAAAGGTGTCAACTACATCCCCAAAGTCCATTTCTTTGTTACCGTCTCCACAGTTAGCTCCGGCTTCGTCAGACTCAGCGCTGCTAGTGATCGCAATTCCCGTGATGTTCTCACAAAAAATCTTTCGATACCTGGAACATTGTGAATTGTAGCTACGTCTAGCGTCCTTGTCTTTCTTTAACTTTCTTTTTGCAAAACCACTCAATTGACGTCTGTCCAGTTTTGATTTTAATTCATTTTTTTGTAGCCGTTAAAAAAATGACACATTTGCACGTATTTGTTGTGGACCAACGCAACTCTGACAGATTGGGGAGGGGGGAGTGATAGTGGTCATGTAATCTTTATTTATTTATAATTTATTATTAAATCATTATTGTTATTATTATTGTTAAATTTCAAGTTAATAATATAACAATTTACGAAAAATATTTTTAAAGCTTGACTCATGTGGTGCCCCCCTAGTGGTTGTGAATGGTTGGTGCCCCTGGGCACTGGCCCAAGTGCCCTTATGGATAATCCGGCTCTGCAGATAACATACACTTATCAATTATAAAGCATCTTAATATACTG